GAAAGTGTGGCTCACTTTTCTTCTCCAAGAGAAAACTGCAATAAATCTTGACAAGAAGTTGTTGGGTTTTTGTTTTTGTTTTTGTTAAGTAGTGAGTTCTACCAAGTAGTTCTGCTAATAGACCCAGGTTTGACTGGCAATTAAGCATGAAACTTCTCATTGGGTATTTTCGAGACTACCACGGGGAATCAGCTACCAGCTTACTGCCATGTGGAAAACTGCACGAGATTCCGGGATCGGAATCAAAATGCTAATTTATAAGGTCAAGGGAAGCTGCGCCTCACGTTTTGGCGTGCCTGCGCTCTCTGCAGGCAGAAGCGGACAAAGACCCAGCCAGAGAAGGCAGAGGCTAAGACCTATCCCGTATCTTCTCTCCTGAAAGAATTCTGGAATCATGCCTGAAATGCCAGAGGACATGGAGCAGGTAAGAACTAGCAATTCAAGGAATAAAGCATTCTGGAGTAAGAGATGCTTTAAAAGCATTCCAGTGAACGACTGCTAAAAACAGAATTGGTTTGTAAAGAAAATAGAAACGGGTGTCATTCATTTCCTTAAAACATAACCTCTGGGACTCGGAAGGAAAAAGCCAACTTTAGCTACTAACCTAGAGAACCAGGTCATGAAGAGCTAAGTCTCATCAGCTGACCAGAATAAAATGCAAGACAGAATTGCAATTTCATTTACCATATTAAATGCAATTAAGTATATAAAGTTTCTACATAAATAAGGATTTTATCTGTGTGTTCCAGATGTTCTTTGTCTTTGTATGAATTGAATCTGCTAACATAACTTTTAGTTTCAGGCTGCTCTCTTAAAATGTATATAGACTGAGCCACTACACCGAGTTGTATATTGTCTATGTAAGAATGGCGTTTGATTCACATAGACCCTACCATCATTAAAGAAAATAATTAAAACCCATATCCAAACATGCCCCTAGAACTGTACCCAACTTTTACGGGGAAAGTATCAAGCCAGATTCTCAAAAGTAGCCAAGTTAAACTCTTTCTGTTTCTCAAGACAAGGCTCTGAGAATCAGAATGCTAATTGCATACGCTTGCCCTTAAACCTTCACGTTGAAGAATTAATTTTTTTCCCTATAGAAAGGTAAGATTTGATTACGCTTTGCGACAAGAAACTTTAAACCGGATTCCCAGTTTTTAAGAGAGGAATATTAAGATGATCTTGGCTGCTCCCCCGGCCCCTCCCCCGCCCTCTTCTTTGTCGTCTCCGTATGTTTGTTTAGCGCCGGGGCAGTCCTCAAGGATTCCCTAAATAATGCCAAACTGATGAACGGTAATATCCTGTATTAAAAAAAAAACAAAACGAAAAATAAGAGACCTCAGGTGTCTTCGACTACTGCTCTAGAGAAACTTTTATATTTACACGAATAAGAAAATGAGTTTTTGTTGGTGATTGGGGAGGAAGGAAAGTCACGGGGTTCTGGCGTGAAAAAACTTCTTTAGAAAAAACTGCTTAGTCTTTAGTTTGAAAATAAAAAAGGATTAGGAGACGGGGAAGGGCCTAGGGAAATCCAAGCAGTAGTCATGTTTGTGGGCAACGTTTAGAGCTTGCTGTCCTGGGTAGACAAGAACCCTTGGACTGCTCGGTGCAAAGTTGACAAAACTACACGGCCTGTGCCAGGGTTTACTTTCTGCCTAAATTTCAAAGGCGTCCTGCCCGGCTGGGGACTTTTTGCGGTTTTGAACTGGAAGGGAAATAAGTCAGCATCAGCACTTAGGGCTGGTTTACTTTTAAAAGGTGGGAGAATGCCCAGCATGACTTGCCGCTGGCTTTAATTCTCGGTGGCGTGGCCCAATCCTGCAATCCCCAAGGCTATGTTTCTTAAAGGGTGGGCTTGACTCGGTTTAAACCCATTAAGAAGTCGGACCCTGGGCTCTCCTACCAGTTTCTCATTCTGTAATTACGGGTAAAGTTCAAGAATCTCCGTTTTGGAGAGGTACCTAAGTAGTTCATCTTCCT